GTAGGTTTTAAGTAGAGTTATAAGTACCCTAAATGGAGTTACCCTAATTATAACCCCACTTATAACCGACTTACCAAGTCTTCTGGGCCTCTAAGCAGGGTTCAGGGTTCGGGGCTGAGGGGTTTCCAAAGGCCTCGAACTCCCAAAAGCCTGAATTGAGAAGAACGGCGCCTCCCTACCTTGGCTTAGGATGAGAGGGGGTAGGTTTGTGTCAAGCCCCTGGATTTCGCTACCCCTACAAAACAGTAGGTTATGACCCCGGGCAACATAGCTTTGACTTGTAAACGGTAGGTTCTTGGAGTCCCAGGTAGCGCATGGCACACAAGAACTCGACCTCCAAGAAACCGCTGGATGCTGCCATCAAAGCGCTCGGTGCCATGCTCGCTGCAGGCGACGCTGGTTGCAGCTTCCACGCTTGGGGTTTGCGACATGCACCGCAAGGGCGTGTGTGGTGCTGGTGCGGATGCAGCGTCATAGACACTCAGCAGACGCATTGTCTCCGATGTCTGTTTCAGGGCAGCAAGGTTGCAAGACCGCCGCCAACATAGGGCTCTGCATGCAGGCGAGGGACAGCAGCAGCTTGCAAAAGACGCTCCAGCCGCTTCTGAGGCGACTCCATGCTTTTCGAGAGCCGGAGAAGTCAGAAGAACGCTTGCTCCACAATGCGGCTGGGTGTGACCCGTTCCCCAAGGGCCGCAACACGCCATGAGGTGTTGTCGCAATCCCGTTGTTGGTCCCAGGAATATGAAAGTACACTAATCAGGTATAAGCCTGGGAAAGATTCAGCAGCCTATCGTTTAGCGTTTGGGGCTACTACTGGTACCAACAGAGGTCCAAACCATGAGCCACCAGCATCCTGCTCATATCTAGTGATCTAGTGCCTTACTCCCGAAAACCTCGCCCAAGGCTCCCAAAGGGTCCAAGCAATAGTGTAGTAATGTCTAGTATAGGGTTAATTTAGGAAACACGAATATAGCATGACGCATGCTGTTTGTTGTTTTTTGATGTTGCTTATGGAGTTGGGAGTTGGGGGGTTGATGATGTGCTAACCCTATAAACCCTAAACCTTAAACCCCAAACCCTAAACCCTAAACCCTAAACCCTAAACCCTAGGCCCTAAACCCTAAACCCTAAACCCAAAGCCCTAGACGGTGGCCTGAACTGCCTGAACCCCTGGCCCGATGTGCCCTGAATCACCGCGCAGAACTCCGCTCTCGACGCACACTCTCAACAAAGCGCAGCCCCCCAAGCTTCGAACCTGAGTTAAAGTACGGTTCAGGGTTTAGGGATTGCCAGCATCACCACAAAAAAACGCCCCAAAACATACACTCCCCGAATTCCCGAACATAGACTCCCAATCCAAACCGTAAACTTCCTGTCTACTCAAAGCCAAGGGACTCAGCCTAGCACGGGGAAGCATGTCGAAGATAGCCTCGGATACTGCAAGGGGGGTGGCAATGCCGTTTAGAGCTTCGCGGTTGAAGGGTTTGGGGGTTTAGGCTTTAGGGTTTAGGCCCTGAGCCCTAAACCCCTAACCCCGAAACTTGATGGGTGTAGGGGTCCGAATAGTTACCCTTTTAAGTGTTTGCGAAGAACCCTCTGAAGGAGCTCTTTCAGATGTAAAAAACCTGCAAGAGCCAGAATCAAACTCTCAAAATCTAAGTATTTAGGGCTACAGTCAAGGGTTTAGGGACTAGGGTTTTAGGGTTTCGGGCTACAGCAAACTGCTATGAACCCCTTCGAAGCCCTGAATCCGAAACCCTTGACCCTTGCACAACCCTAAACCCTAAACCCTAAACCCAAAACCAAGTATTAATCAACCACTTCGTGGCTATAGCTTCCTTCCAGGCTGATGCCTCGCCGCAGGCACTGATGCCCATGGTGAACCTCAGCCGAACCCCATATGGGCTCTTTCAATTACAAGAGGCTTCCTCTAAATGCCCCTGAAAAGGGTGCTGGGATACGGGAGCCGCAATAGGTAGAGCCGGTTGAATCGAAATAGCATTTGGTCATTATTCCGGCCCGGGATCGGGTGCTCACCACCTTAACAATCCAAGAGGGTCCGTATTATATATCTGTTTATATATATATATATATATATATATATGGTAGCCCCCCCCATGAACTACCGACCCTCGTTTTGTATCGTAAATACCGTGTTAAACCTGCTTTTCCGGCAGGTCCGGATTCTGT